ATCTGTCACCAGTCTTCGGAGTCAAGAGTATAAGATTGTGCTAAGGAAGAGGTCAGGGCTGGGTTTGGAGGAGGGGGAAGGGTGCTGGATTAGATTACTGGGCCATGTACTGAGATAGAATAACCTGGACAAGGGAGTAGCGTTGGGTGTTTTCTACCAGGCCTTCCTAGCTTCCTCCCATTGTACCACCATTTGCCCACAAATTCCAGATTGCTCCTGTTTTCTATTCTACCTCTCTTGCCTTACCCCAGCTTAGCCCCATTATCCCCTCTCCACCCCTTGGCCTCACAGTTACTGGGACTCTGCCTATGACGACGATGTCATGGAGAACCGGGTTGGCCTGAACCTGCTTTATGCTCAGGTGAGCTTGGAGCTGCCTCAGAACCCTTCCCCCGAAATGAATACTGGTGTCTCACTCTGCCAAGAAAACTCCGTGTCTTTACTCCCAGTTCACAGGGAAGTTCCTAGAATACTATCAGGGCACCTGGCACAATCTAGTCTCCTTATTTTGTAAGCTGCAAAGAGGTCACTGCTAAGGGTCAGGATGGACAGAAGTAATTGGACACTTTCCTTGGACCTCTGATTGGGAGCCCCGAACCCCCCTACCCCTTGTCTCTACTATAGACGGTATCAGACATTGAGCGTGGGTGGATCCTGGTCACCAAGGAGCAGCACCGGCAGCTCAAATCTCTGCAAGAGAAGGTCTCCAAGAAGGAGGTAAGCCTGCTTCCCTGTTTTATTTCAAGGGGGGTTGTTTTCTGACTCACCCCACTTCCCTTCCTGACCTGCCCCCTGTGGTGACTGGGTTTCAGTTCCTGCGGCTGGCTCAGACACTGCGGCACTATGGCTACTTGCGCTTCGATGCCTGTGTGGCTGACTTCCCAGAGAAGGACTGTCCCGTGGTAGTGAGTGCAGGCAACAGTGAGCTTAGCCTCCAGCTCCGCCTGCCTGGCCAGCAACTCCGAGAAGGCTCCTTCCGGGTCACCCGCATGCGGTGCTGGCGGGTCACCTCCTCTGTGAGTTGGGGTAGGCCTTTGAGATGGTGCTCTGGCAAGCCTTGAGCTTCAGGAATGGGTGGGTCAAGGACGGAGGCAGACTGGTCAGAATGATCTCAGCCTAACTCCCCTTTCTCTCCCAGGTGCCACTGCCCAGTGGAGGCACAAGCAGCCCAGGCCGGGGCCGGGGTGAGGTGCGCCTGGAACTGGCTTTTGAATACCTCATGAGCAAGGACCGGCTACAGTGGGTCACCATCACCAGCCCCCAGGTGTGAGCCCACCCTCATGCCTCCTCTGGAGCCCATTGCACCGCTCTCTTAAATACCCAAGTCTAGGGCTTCCAGGACTCCATGTGAGTGGGAGCCCTTGTCTTACGGGTGCTGGGCTCAGGATGACCACTCTAGTCAGGCTGAGCTCTCTTCTTGCCCTCAGGCTATCATGATGAGTATCTGCTTGCAGTCTATGGTAGATGAACTGATGGTGAAGAAATCTGGTGGCAGCATCAGGAAGGTAAGCGAGAGGTGTGGACCAAGCAGCTGAGTGGTTATGCTCTCCCTGCCTTTTGTCCTAGGTGGGAGGGAGGGGAAGTGATGGGGATTCCGAAGGGATTCTGCCCTTATCAGCGTCTCCATCCCCAGATGCTGCGTCGGCGAGTAGGGGGCACCCTGAGACGCTCAGACAGCCAGCAAGCAGTGAAGTCCCCACCCCTGCTTGTAAGTATCACTTTCTGATCAGTACCCCACCTCCTAGCCTTGCCATACCTCCCCAGTGAGCTCTCTGACACCTCTGCCTCCTCTTCCCCAGGAGTCACCCGATGCCAGCCGGGAGTCCATGGTCAAACTCTCAGTGAGTTTCCCATGAGGGTTGGTGAGGTTGGTGTTGGTAGGGGAACCTCAGGGAGGCTTGAGCCCTCTGACGCCAACCCTGCCTTTGTTACAGAGCAAGCTGAGTGCCGTGAGCTTGCGGGGGATTGGCAGTCCCAGCACAGATGCCAGTGCCAGTGATGTCCACGGCAATTTTGCCTTCGAGGGCATTGGAGATGAGGATCTGTGATCTCCAGTGCTCAGATGTCTGCCCTCTGCCCCGGAGGAATGTTCAGAAACTTGCCCTGTGCCTGTATCCCCCAAGCCAGGGGGTCTCTTCCTTCCTTCCCTTCTCTCGGCCAGGGGCTTCCTAACCCACCTTCCTTTCCACTCCCCGGGCTGGCTGCACAAAGGATTGTTCTCTCTTTTCAAAGCCGGCCCTTAATGCCAAATTAGCATTTAGTATTTTGCACAAAGTCCAAGGGACCATGGCTACCTGCCTTGGGGAAGAACTACATCTTCCCCTGGGGCTGCTTCTGGCTTCTCGGGGCCATGGGCCAAGGGGATGGGCAGAGGTCTGTGTATCATCTGGCCCAGCTCCCCATCATTAAACTCAGCCTGATTGCTGCCTACCTCTGTTTCCCTTCACTGCCCCTGCTCCCCCATCACAGCACAGACTGCTGTGCTAAGGGTGAGGCGGAGCTGTGCTTGCCACTGCCAACTCAGCATAGACATGGCTTTGTTAGTGTTTCCTTTATTATAAAGCACTGAAATAAGTTAAATAAACAGGTGGGAGGCTGGGCAGTCCCCCAGCCAGTTCCTCTACTGCCCCTGGGAGCAGTGGAGGTGAATACAGGGCCCTTATCACTGAGCTCATGAAGTGCATCAGTCAAGGCAAGGCCCCCTGGTCCATATGGGCCCCCCGCCCACAGGGTTTGGGCTGGTCCATATAGCGCCTAGGTTAGTCTGTGGAGCCCCTGGCCAGCGGGGGAGGAAGTAGAAGGTGGCTTCTGGTCCATCTGTATAAAACGTACAGGACAGTCAGGGCTAATCCGTAGGGCCCTGAGGGAGAAGGACCTGGTTCAGGGTGAGTCTGTATGGAGAGCCCGGCTACCAGCGGCACTCAAAGCTGTCGGACCCCGAGGGCTCAACACAGAGGAGGGGCTGTGCGGTGGGGCCCAGCCCTCAGAGGCAGAGAGGCCAGGCCCTCCTGCCCCACCATGGCCATGCACCTTCTGGTGGCGTTTGTAGTTGTCCCAGTGGCCTGTGGTGTAGGCGCAGGTGGCACAGCGGAAGGGCTTCTCGCCTGTGTGCCGCAGCATGTGGCGTTTGAGGTTCATGCTCTGATTGCAGCTGTAGTTGCAAAGGCTACACCGAAAAGGTTTGTCCCCAGAGTGGATGCGACCGTGACGCTTGAGGTTGGCCAGGTTGCCACAGGCATAAGGGCAGAGGGGGCACTTGTAGGGCTTCTCTCCCGTGTGGACGCGCTGGTGCCGTTTCAGATTATCCAGATGAGCAGAGGCATAGGGACAGCGGGCACAGCGAAAGGGCTTCTCGCCACTGTGCGTCTTCATATGCCGGGCCAGGTGGTTGGGATAATGAGTGGCAAAGGGGCAGAGGCTACAGGCAAAGCCTTTGTCACTGGGGCCCTGGGGCCCCCCACTGGCACCCCCTCCAGCCTCTCCTCGCATGCAGCGCCCACACATGGCAGCTCCCAGCCGACCACCCTCCCCCTCCTCCAGCTCTCGTCCACAGTTCCGGCAGGTCCAAGGGAACAGCAGCTCTGGCAGTGGTTCTGATCCAGTCCCACAAAGACCCTCTCCTTCACCCCGCAGCTGCCCACAGTCTGGCAGGAAACTGGCACCACCTGGTGGCACATGGAGGCTCAAATCTGGAAGCAGCAGAGCATCTGTGGGGACAATGAGGCCTGGTGTATGAATCCCACCAAGTATCCCTAAAGCCACCCACCCATGTCCCAGGTTCTTTTGGTCTCTGGCTTTTTACCTTCAGGTCGCCGGGGCACTGCCCCCTCCTGCTCTGTGGGACTGGGAGGCCGGGTTGGACGTGGAGCACAGCAGCGGAAGCCACAGGTCGGGCAGGGAGGAGTGGGGGGCCCCGCGTGGGTGCGCTGATGCCGCCTCAGGTTGCCCAGGCTGCTGCAGGCAAAGGGGCAGTGGGGACAGCGGTAGGGCTTCTCGCCAGTGTGGGTGCGGGTATGTCGCGTCAGGTTGACGAGCTGGGCTGAGGCGTAGGGGCAGCGGCCACAGCGGAACGGCTTCTCCCCGCTGTGTGTCTGCATGTGCCGCTTCAGGTGGCTCGAGTAGTGGGACACGAAGGCGCAGAGGCGGCATGAGTATAATAGCCGTGGGGGCAGCGGGGGCCCCCCACCCGGCCCTCCTGCCCCACAACACGGCCCCTCACCTGTCGGCCCCCCACACAGCTGGCAGGCTGGGCCTGGCCTCTCACCCCTGGCCTCCCCTGGACCCCTGGCTGGCTCCTCAACTTCACTCTCAGCACTTAGTGGCCGGCCGCCCCCAGACTCGTCATCGCTCAGCCCATAGGGAAGCCCAGGCCTGGCCCCCAGAGAGTCTCCTGGTAAGACAAACGTGAGAAGAAACATCAACATGGAGTACAATCAGGCTCCAAACTTGCTTTCTCACTGGTGTCTCCCCACTTGTTTGGCCCCACTCTTCACTTCAGTGATCCTGAAAATTCAATGTGCATGATCTGCTTCTGAGCCTGGACTAACCTAGTGATGACAGCTGTACCTAATTCCACTGCATGGAAAAGGATCAAAGGCTCACAGTGGACCACAGACTGAAATGAAGAATGTAATTAGGTGATTCTTGGGATAAAAAAAAAAGTAAAAGTACACAAGGCAGAGGCCTGACATCTTATTCTAAGCTCTGTTTTAGTAAGGTCCGTTTTAGTACAGAGCTGATTATAAAATAAAAACTCAAGAGTGAAGCAAATCTGGAGAGAAGTGAAAACAAAGTAATGTCCCTAAAGGATGAATTATTTTTTACATGGATTCCCCTCAATGACGTTCAGAAACATCCTTAGTATAGGTAGCATTAAGTGGGTAAGTGGTGCAGCAAATTAGGGTGGAGTGATGTTAACATCACAGGGGAAAGGAATGTGCAAGAATACTTGAGGATAGAGACCAAAACCTCAATACAAAAGGTTTATGCTGCAGGTGAAAGGAGTTAGATTAGACATAACTTAATTTGAAATAAGTTGTTTTGCTGAACCTTTTCAAGTGAACTTCACATAAGGAATGTGCTAGGCAGAAGGACAAGGTTATTAAAAGGGCATTAACTTTAACCAGTTGCTCTGTCATCCACTGTGCTATTCATGCCGCCTTTGGACCAGGCCGCAAAACTTCACCTCAACAAAGTGATGGAGCTCATCGAACAACTGGGCAAATGAAATCCAGCTCAAATCTAAACTAAATCATCCCTGGGTTGTGGCACTGTTTCGAGTTTAGCTCACTGGCACTAAATCCTAACCTGGATCCTGAAGGGCCGAGGTTCCAGCGGTCACTAATCTTTAATCAAGTCCCTCAAACCCACCTTCAGAGTCTCTCTCGAAGCCCATGAGCTGGTCGCTGTTGCCGTCACCTTCCTCCTCTTCCTCTTCCTCTTCCTCCTCAAACTCCAGATCTTGGCCTAGTAGTAAGTCACTCTCCAATACCAGGGCCCCGGGTCCTTCGTCGAGGGAGTCTTCGGTATCCACTGAAGAGGGGAGGGGGCTTGTAGATTCTCCCTCAGGAACCGTGCCCATCATCCGCACCCCGGGAGCTAGCCCTGGCAGCCCGTACTTCCCGTACTCTCAGACCCTCTCGGGTTCTCTTAGTAGAAGCTAGGAGTCCAGATCGCC